TATATATATATATATATCATAAAATTCATCGACTAAGTCCATAAAGCAAAACTAGTGATGTAGGCCGGCCCTAGTAAATGATTGCAGATAATTTTCTTTATCTATCATAAAATTCATCGACTAAGCACTTTTGTCTTCTTCTTCAACTAGTGCTTCTGGTACTTCACAAGGCAGTTAATCTTTTTCTTAGGTGAACAGCAGCACTAACTGTAGTTTATACCGAGCGAGCCTCTGGTATTAATGGGTGATTATGCCTCAACCAGCTTTTTAAAATGGCGTGCGATATTAGGGGCTATTTATTTTGTTATATTCTTACTTTGGAGTATACAAAATAATTTCATATTTTCTTATAGTTTGTTTTACATGTATATTAATATGAAGAAGGGCTTGGGCAAGCAACACAAGCTAGGAAGAGCAGGTGCTGGTATTAAGGTTTTGTTTGAGAAAACTACAAATCTTCTTTGTATTATAGTGCATGCCGACGCGCAGAAAAGTTTTCGTTTGGTGAAGGAATGCTTCCAAATCTTCTCCCGAAGTTGTTTCGCAAAAAAGATAATTTCGTCATTTCAGGTCACAGGTGACCTCCATTCTGTCGATGTGACTTTTTTTTTTCTTGAATCGATTATCTATAAAGTTTAAAACTTAGGACTTGCTTTATATTTTAAAAGGAAATTCTAATTGATATATGCCTTGTAATAGTGAAATTTGGATAAATATATCGATTATTTATTCTTTTGGAAATATATATCCATTTTAAGGCAAAAAATCCTACTTATTGATAGAAAAGTACTTACCTAATGTTTGTGGCAAGCAGCATTACTTCAAAAGACAATTTATTTAATCTGCAATCCATGTTCCAACAATCTTAGGTCAATTTATGAACATTATTTGAACCTTTCAAACATAGCTAAAATAAAAAAAAAAAACAAATAAAGATCAATTAAGATTAGTATAAAGTTGAAATCTTATTCAAATAAAGTTTGAGCAAGATTCAAGAATAGTCTAAAGATGAAGATGTTGCAATTATGTTCCATTGTTATCTGACATTTTCATTAAAAACTCTAATTTAGAGTCATGTTGAAACTAGATGCCCTAAAAGATAAGTCTTATTACAACAGATTAATA